GGTCCAAAGCTAGACGGGAAGGGTTTTCTTAAATCTTTAGGGACAGAGATTTTAGCCCAGGAGGACGGTACTTTAAATACATACAGCAAAAGGACAGGGGACCTCAGAAAACTCGAGTACTGTTCTAAAATTATCCTCACAGCCTTGTTCTTTGCATTACCTTCAGCCACCAAAGGCAACATCACAAACATTGAAACGTATACCCTACAATCCAGTGGATTTCGCCTCAAAATTTCAGCATCGAAATACTTATTTGAAGACACCATCATCACAATGGATTTACAGCATGTGGAGATACCGAGAACAGTGGAGGGGTTCTCGAAGTTGGTGGTGGGTGCTAAAACTATTCTATCCTGGAAGGCGCGAACCAGAAGAAATACCATGCGATTTTACGAAGCATTGAATAATGGCCATAAACGTTTGATTAACGGAGCCTTTTTTTCGCCAGTTAAACTATCCGTCTAAAAAATAAAGTTGCGCTGCCATACAAATTTGACCAATGGAATTGCGAGAGATCTGCTCCGCTTTAGACATGCTTTGCGAATATGACGTCATATCAAGTATATTTAGCTTATTAACACTAACTCATTATATAATGGCTGTTATTTCCGTTTCCACCTAACTGAGTATATATAAAGCATGATGTGACATTAGTGAGTCGCTTTGCCAATGTCATTTCCGGTATGCTAATGGCAACCTACATTCGCATTTGGGCATTGTGATATGAATTGTTACATGTTCATGACGGTAATATACGGAACAGGTATATATGGAAGTTCGTGATTACATAATGTGGAGATGGTGAATCGACTTCAAGATCTGGAATATTAACACCAATTTGCGATGACAATTTCATACGTCTGTAGTCGGTACACTCTTCTATCTACAATAAGCGAGAACGCTGTTTACAGAGGGAAACCATCCAATTCCTGTTCCAGTCAAAGCCGTTCAAACAAAAAGATCAATGTTTGCCGAATCAAATGCTCTTTCTAAAAGCTCTTAAGCAGATTGACAGCGGTTTGTTCTCCGAAACACTGGTTACGTTATATCAACCGTTTAAAAGAATTTATAATTCTCGTCGATGTTAATAATACTGGCTATATGTTTGTAGGCATTTAATGCACTACATCACCCATTTTTGCGCGACAAAGACGGATGGTGATCAACTATTTTGCGTGAGGCTAGTTTCATGCTTGATGAAAGAGTACTTAATTGTGATCGACTTGATCTGTGTTTGTCAAATACGTGAAGCTACAACCGACGGAGATAGTTTGCCTCGCCACATTATTGTATGGAATGCTTTGATCAAAGATTTATGTCAAGAGGGGAATGTGAAGGCGTTAGTTTTGGGTTTTATTACTTGGTGTTTGCTCTAGTTATTTATATTGATTTCTTTGTCTAATTTATCATATTTGTCCTGTAGTTTATGAGATGATATCATCATATGAGCAGATACCCGACGTATTAACGCATAAGCTCATATTCTATTGAACGTGATGTTAAAGATTAAAAACATTTGCTATGCTATTTATAAGACGAACACTTAATGTAACCACTCTGAATTATCTCTTACGGGCCTGTCTTGTGACGAATGATAATGAGTCTAAGAAAGGATGATTCGAACTAGAACTCACTATTCAACCATTCAAAAAACTTATAATTGATGTAATAAGGCGATTGAAATTGGGACCAAATGGACAAATGCTTGTTATTTTATAGGCTTTGATCGCTCATTATTGATGCTGGATATCATACAACGCAACTAGAATTCATGAAAGCATGTCGCTTTGATGCGTCTAGTACTATAACGATCTGCTTGATTTTTCGAAAACGCGATCATCGCTAGAAACCCTAAATCAGCAACCAAGAATCCTATGCTTATAAAATTTACAAGCATGTTAAACATAACTGTTGTTCATGTGTATGCAAAAATTGACATGGAATATTAAGGATTATTTTGAATTTTACTATAACGATCTACTTGATTTTCAAAAAACGTGAAATTAATCCTCATCACTAGAAACCCTAAATTAGCAACCAAGAATCTTGTGCTTATGAATTTACATACTTGTTAATGATGACTGTCATCAATTTATTAGTATATGCAGAAAATTGATACAGAATATGGGGCAGACTGCAACAAAACCGGATAAAGTGAAATTCTATAAATGAGGGGCTGATTATGATGTGGTTGTAAAATTGCCAAGTGTGACTGATGACGTTTGGCCACATCCGCAGATGACTGAAAAGCCTACGGTGCCACGTAAAGCATACGTTGGACCTCCTAGAGAAGTG